ATCATTTTATTCAAACAAAACACAAAAAACAAACGAAGAAACAAACCCCGCATGCAGAGAGAGGCGAACCAGTCGCCCGCAGGGTGGTGTCAACGCAGCTGCAGCCAGTGCAATACAACAGACAGTGTAGCTTTTTCTTCGTTTTTAGGTTATTTTTAATCCCCAAACGAAATTTTTATACTAAACTTCTTCTTTTTAACTCTTTAACGATCATTTTGATATATTTTTATCCTTTTTTTGCATGCAAACACCCCCATAGAGTGCCTGCGTGCAGTGTACAGAGAGCGCTCGCAGTTGGCCGCATGGAGCGGCGCAGCCAACGACATGCAGCAGCAGCAGAGAAAAAGAAAAAAAAGAGAAAATAAAAACAAAACAAAATACATAAACTGCTTTTGTTTAAAATACAAAACAAAAAACAAGAAGACAAACAGAAGGACCCCCGACACCACCACCCTTGCTGCTGCTGCAGCAGCACAAAGCAACCCTCTCAGCTGCTGCAGCTCTGCTGCTAGCTAGCTGCAGCTAGCTACAGCTAGCTACAGCTAGCTACAGCTAGCCACAGCTAGCCACACGTAACCCCAGATAGCCACAGCTAGCTGCCTGGCTAGCTGTGAAAGCACAGACGAACGCAAACTACAGCCGCATGCATTCTCTTCGTTGAGATCAAACCCTAAACAAAATATATATATATATATATACATATATATATATATATATATATATATATATATTGATGCAGCAAATACAAAGCTGAAACAAAGAGATAGTAATACTAAGAATAAATAAACAAACAAATAAAAACAGAAAAAAATAAATAAATAGAGAGTAGGTAAGGTGGAGAGGGACAGTACAAACAAACAAAAAAAATAAAACAAATAAAAAATAAAAATAAAAAATAAAACAAAAGAAATTACACTCAATAGAGACAAACAAGTAAACAGAGGGGAATCAAACAAGAATCAAAATAAATTAAAAAAAAAGCTAAACCCCAAAACCCTAAACCCTAAACCCTAAAACTGCTGCTCTCTCAGCCCCTCCATACACCCCATAGCAGCGCTAATTTTGGGGGCTCTGGGGCAACATAAACAAGCTCCTCCATCCTATTGCTATCTAGCTAGCTGGCTAGCTAGCTAGCTAGCTAGCTAGCTAGCTGGCGGTGCGGTGCGTTACGGTGTGTCGTGTTTGAGGTGTACATACACCCGAGATGAAGACAAAGTGAAAGTGAAAGTGAAAAGAAAGTAAAATAATAAATAGGAAATATGTTGACCCTTGAGGTGTCCATACACCCCAATGGGTTTGGGTGCGCGTGCCTGTACACCACAAACTGTATCCCCTCTTTTTTTCTTTTTTTTTTTTTATTTTTTTTTAATTTAATTTTATTTAATAAATATAATATTAATAATTAAATTATTTATTCTTTTTTCGCATCTCACAGCCGCTCTGTACACCCCAAACGATAGCTGCGTATACACCTGAAATATGGGGCTCCACTGACACCCCTGCACGTACACCCGAAATGTGTGTTTATATGCAACCACACAAATATAATATACATATATAAATATACATAATATATAATATACATTCTAAATATATTAAATATAATATATATTCTCTATATATTACAAATATATATTTCTCTATATATTATATACATATATATATCCATACACTGTATTTATATATATATAGATATATACACACTCCGCTGCAGTACGAAGTGCAGCGTTTGAACTTCACGCTGGGGTGTATCTACATATACACTGCATGCATGCATGCGTGCATGCATGCATACATGCATGCATGCATGCATGCATGCATGCATGCACGGGGTGTACATACACCTGAGCCAACCTGCGGCAAGGATGGGGAGAAGCTGTTGACTCTCCAGCAAACAACCCCGAAAAAGAATAAAGACAAACAGAACGCATGCAGTGTGTGTATATACACTGCATGCATGCATACATACGCATGCATACGCATGCATGCATGCATGCATGCACTGTATCTGGGGTGTATATACACTGCATGCATATTACAGGCCTGCACTGAATCCGGGGTGTTGCAGTATATACACTGCATCCATCCATTCATTCATCCATCCATCTATCCATCTATACATGCATGCATGCATGCATGCATATACAACATAAATATATATATATATATATATATATATATATATATATATATATATATATATATATATATATAT